TAAAGAATTGGGCTCTCTCAATAAGTGGTGACTCGATAGACATGGTTAAAATTTTCTAAGTTCAACATATTTCAGAGATCCCAGTCTTTCTACGAGAGACTCGAGTTTCTCAATTTTTCAGTTTTATTCATTAAGTCTCTCTCTGAGAGACTCGAATCTCTGAATTAACAATTTTATCGTTCGAGTCTCTCATACAGAGACTGTGAGAAATCCATAAAAACACCTAGACAATAACTTAGAGACTGTGAAAGACTGTGAGAGACGCTCATAGAGACGCTAAAAGACTCTGAGAGATTGAAAATTTTTGTCTAGGGCTGTATTTGTTTTATTTTATGGTTCAAAGTTGCATGTTTGTAACATAAATGCAATAGAGAGATATTTGTAAAATCTCATGAGTGTACCTACACAAAGTTAATAAATCTTTTATTGTTCCAGATATGCCGCCGTATATGCTTAAGGGAGTCATTGGGGATGCACATCGCGCTTCTGAAGCAAGCCAACTGATGTTAATCCTCTCATGTGTATTTCTTTTAATAGTCGAGCAACAATAAGTGCACCCATGAAAACGTTTTGTACAAAGACTCGGCAGATATTGTACCTACTGTTGTAATTTTAAAACTGTCTACAGTGAAAGAAATAGAGTCAATGTGGCTGTTTACTACTTCTTATAATCATATGGAAAGACGATGGTGATTTAATGTGAACTACTATTCCATTTTCTTCTTAACCTATTGACAATAACCAAAAGTTCCAAGCCCATTTTACTACTTGCAATCCCACCTTTCTAAAACTATACAATTCTTGTTCGATTACTCAAGTACTTACATACCTACTGAAAAGAAATATTAATGATTTCAGTCGTGCATATTAACTGTTTCTATGCAGGCAGACAGTCTAGTAGGAACAAGGGGGTAAATATAGGTACAGAAGGTGAAACTGCCCTTCTTATTTTTTAAATTACGTCATAGAGATAGCGTTCAAAAATATATAGAAATGTAGACCTCGGTATATACTTATTTAGAATTCCCGAAGGACGAATACTTGCGTTGAAAAAAAAGACGGCGTACAGGGTTAAAACAGACAAAAATTATTGGAAAAAAAACATGAAATATCTTGATTGGTTCTAATTATTTCGGCAAAAGTAGGACACATTCGTCTTTTCTATCTAGCCTCTGCTCCTTGTGGGGTGTCCACTTTATTAGAAACTTAACCCCCTTTATTATCCGAACATGCTGCCATTTTAGTTGATATCTCGTGCCCACTTCTCCGTCCAACAGAGAAAGGACTCTTTCGAAAGTACACAGGCCCGTTTAACCACACGCCAAACATCCCCTATACACTGCGGTGAACCTATACATAGGAATTCAGCGCATATAAAGCTGATTTATGACCGCTTGCAAAAAACTGCGAATTTTAGGTTAGATCAAGTATTACCCGGCAGTGACGTAGTACTTAGCATCTAAATATTTTAACTCTTATTCCACAATACTCTGCACAATATACAATTCAAAAAATTGACCGACTTTACATAATGATACAGCATGTACTTTCGAAGGCGTCGTTAAGTCTAACCCTTTTCGTATGTACGACTTATATCATCGATTTCTTACCCCCTCTTTCTACCAATGTCGGATTTAGGGCCGGATGTAGTCGGGGCATCCTCTAAATATAAATATAATTTGACAACACGTATTTGTTTTTTTTTTATTACGAGAAGAATTTGATGATGACCTTTGATTTGGCCTTATGATGATGACGAGAAGAATAAGTCTAATCAATAAGATTTTAGGAAAGCCTTCAAACAAACATATATTATTTTAGGTGAAATTCACGGATCGTTAACTGACTTAAAATATTAAGATAAAATTCTGAATCCGACACTGTTATATACCTATCATCTGTTTGTATTTCCCTTTAATAAGAGTTGTTCCAGTGTTATGTGTCCATATAAATAATAGTGCGTTCAAGAAATGGATTAGCGAGGTGAAAATTTATGTGTTTCGTTAAGTGATGGTCTCAGCACGAGTACTTACCACTCAACTACCAGATGGGCAAGAATGCGGCAAGATGCCATTATAAAACGGTATGAAGACGTCTAGATTTATTATTAGTGTTTATACATAGATGGAACGGTTGGAAAGACTAAACTGAAGTTTATGTACTTAGATATTTAGTGCAAACGACGGAAGTACGTATTACTATTATGTAGCGGACGATAGAAATACGAAAGCTTCGCTTTCAACGAGCTTTTAGTCGTGAAAGTGACTTGATGATTGCTAAGGGAGAAAACGCAAATTGGTGTAAAAAGTTTTATTACAACTCGGTCTTACGATTACTTTTATTGCTCTGGCGTTTTAGTAAAAGTAAAGTATGAGTGTCCATAAAAATATAAGAAATTCTCTCTCAAACACAGCGAAAATAGAATTCTCTTATACAAACGAATTCTATAAATTATTATAATGCACAAGTCGCATCTATTGAAGTTTTTTGAATTTAATAGTTCTCATTACAATTGTTTCGCTACACCGTAGCTTCACCAAGGAACGACATACGTTATTTAAATGTCAGTGTAAAACGATCATAAAAAAAAAATTTGTTGACGGGGTTGTGCAAATTCTCTTCTAAAAGCTCTGATGTTTTAAGTATTAAAATAAATGAATTATGGATACGATACATATTAATTGTAGCGAATTTATTATCCTTCAGTAGAGGTTATTGTTTATTCGCTGGGTTTATACTGAAAACAGGGTAAAATTCACACCCTACTAATAAAAATGACCTCTAGTTATAATTGATTTATGAAAACAATTGATTAATCCCTTGAGAGAATATTGACTTATATTACGAACAATGGACACTCGATTAGAGCTTGTTTTTTTATAATTATCTCACAAACTAAAAGGATATTGACAGTAAACAAACGAAGAAATAAAATTAATATCTAATGCATTATCTTTCATACGGAATATTAAAGTATATCTATAACCGCTTGACGAATTTAATTTATTTAGATGAAAAATACAACTTAATTTCCGTGTGGTGTTTGCCCTGTCCTTTACACAGTAGCAAACGTTTCTCCCTGCTTAACATATGTCATCTTCAGTTAGTTCCGTATTATTTAAATCCATATGTTATATTGGTATCGCACACCATAGCGTGTGGAACTCACTAAAGATATCATCTCCTAAATATAGCGAAACATTTGAAGTTAAGAAAAAGACACAGTAAAATACCATCACCCACAAACTCAACCAGTTTCATAGATATTTATTTATTCATTACATTGAAGTAGTTTATGTAAAACATTCTGTGCTGTTCATATGAAGTATTACAAAGTCTATGCAGTATACATTTACCTATTTTATCTTTAAGGGTTGCTGTAAAGTAAGAAAAGATTTTGCCAGATTTGGAATAAGGAAGGTACCTACTTACTACATTGAACACTTTTTACTTTCCATAAAACTGTGTTTATGACTTACGTTTTTTTATTACTTCAGTTGCAAACGTAAATTTTTTATTCTGCCGTTTCGTGATAGTTGCTGCATTAATACGAAAAGTAAGAACAATATTAAATTTCATCAGAAAGCTTCTAAAATAAATTCAACAAATGCCACTACAGTAACTAATAAGCACATGTTTTTCACCTATTTCAGTTAATGATATAAATAAAAGTACCTATTGATGACAGTGAAATATTAAATTTTCAAAAAATTCTTGTTTTTACAATTATCGTCCAGGATAGAGTTCAAAAAATCATTGATTGACGATTACCTTCTCATAAAGTTAATACTGTTCCAGGATCTTTTTAATAAAATAACTAATAAAATAATTCGAAGTGGTCTGTATTCTGTCGAATCGCGATTTCGATCCTTTTGGATCTCATCAGCGCGTCGCAGACAGCTCCGACAGGACACAGACCAACTTTTACCTGCTGTCTTAACAGTGCGTTTTATAAAATAATACAAATGGCGCAGTAAACGCCATCTGTAGCACGATGCTACATTTTAGGATTACGTGATATCACGTTGAGGTTTGCTACGCCAGGATTCGTTTTCAGCAAGTAGATATCCACACAAGTGGACCTTGTTGGAGCATACGTAATCCTAAAATGCAGCATCGTGCTACAGATCGCGTTTACTGCGCCATTTGTGGTATTTTCTAAAATAACTAGTGACTGTTCCAAATGTCGCGTAAATTAAAATGTAAGAATAGAATGTTACATTATTTATTTTCATAGAAAAGATCAAGAAAAAATGTAAACTAAGTTATTTTACGTATTTTGAGCTTAAGATGATGTACAAAATAAAATGAAAATCATTTAGATATTCTTGCTAAAAACTGTACAGCTTTTTGTAATTACGGTGGTTAAGGTTTTAAAAATGATGTAAGTATAAAAAACAATTAACATTTCATGAGCAGACGACACCTACTCTGTCAACGTAACTGGCCTCTTTTTTCTCTTGATATTTAAGGCATTTAAAGACTGACTAACTATGTTACTTTGCAAATTATTATTTTCATTTGCCATGTCAGTTTAGTTCATAGAGATTATTCGTAGTGCAAACAATGTAAAATAAGATAATTAAATAAAATTTAAGTGTAAATGGAGTCTGTGTCTTATTGATTTAACATTTAACATTAATACTGTTTCAAATTCTTGATTGGCAAAATGTTACCTCACAAAATGTAGCTAACTCATAATGTATGGTTTGGCATTATCTACATGCACTTACAGGTAAGGCAAAAAGTTCACTGAAGCACACATTTCTTTGTCAGCATTTTTAAGTAGGACTAGCGAAAATGCATAATTTGGCAAACGTGTCTACCCAATAATACCATTTCCTTCTATCTGCCACTAACTGAATTCTCAAAATATTTTAAACAAAGCGCAACACCTCTCAAAAGTTATAATTTCTTTATACATATATATAGTNAAAGGGGATGAAATGCGGTCAACGGGTGGGTTTCTAGCAATATCATGATAATATCTACAACGAAGGTACTTAAGAACTGTTTAAATTGAAGAGAAATGTGCATAATAAATAATTTTCAGTGGAATGAATTTAGAAATGTTTGGAGGGTTAATTTCGTCATCTTTTAATTAAGTGCAGCCTTAGGTCACTTGTACTTGCACACTAAATTAGTCACATGAGAGTAAAAATCAATCCAAAACAAACTAATCCACATAGTTCCTTTGCAAGTTCAAAGTAAATGTAATGATGAAATATTTACTAGATACGCCCTATGGCCATATATCTTGCTTTGACAGATTCTATAGAAGCAATCGTTCTAAAAAGATTGAGTTAGAAAATTGACCACAGGCTGTCTAAATCTGTTTGCTTGAATGATAAACAGTAGAACCACAAAAGCCTATTATTTATATGTATTATTTATTATATGAATCCATTAATAACAGCCACCAGGAGGCGTATGCCTCTGTCCACCTATTGTCATCATAACATTCGCGAAGTATTGGATGGATTTAAGGTCATTCTCACTATTATACGGGATGTTTCCAAAATAAGTAGCAGCATGATTAAAAGTTAGAAACAGGTTTTAAGAAAACCAGAAGAAGTTGGAATCCAAAGCCGGCCCTGGACGTGAATTGGCAGCGTAAAGAGAAATTGCGATTACAAGTAAGCAGCTACATCGATGTAGAATGTAAACAGTGATTGTGTTGACGTCCGGCATTTGACGTACTTCATTTGCAGCGATGATACACGGTGTGCAAAACTTGGCGTTTGATACGCACCGGCCAATCTACAGGACCCGTATGTTCAATCCAGCATGTAGGAAACTGTTCGTCTTGAAAGCCATGCATTTTTTCAGTGTAATAAAACTATTTTACACTGACCTACGACACTGACAAACTGTCAATTACTGACTAACTACAAGCATAGAAGCCTATAACGTTAAAATAACAAACAGTTACTCAAGGCTAGCTGCAACATAAACATCGTCAGTCACACTTAATCTAATCTATGCATGAGTATAAAAGCACAAAACAATACAACACAGTTGGTTGAATACGGCGTTGCAATGTCGTGTTTTCTTGTTTGCCAGGGTCAGACTTTTAGACTTCCAAACACTTACTTAATTATCTTGTTTTATAATACTCTATCACCTCCTGCAAGATTGCTAGTTATTTCACAAACACTCTGTATACAGTGTTATCGTCCTTATTTATGAGCTATTTTTCAGCCATAATCAATTAGTTGAAGTAGCACATAATGATTATTATTTATTAAAAAAATATGCCGAGCAAATTTATATGTACCTACCGTCGACGTTGCGGTGCAGGAACTTTATTTAATTTAACAACTCGGTAACTATTCAGTTTCGTTTGGTATTCATGTTGTAGCTAAATGGTTTTATTCTTTATGACGGGTTAAATTTAGTATTCTAACTAGATCAAAGTACAAAAATGCCCTGAGCATGCTAATGCACGAAATTCCTATGTAAGTGTCAACTAATTTTCCCGGGACGGAAACTATACATTACACGCGGTGACGTAGTCGTTTGCGACACAACTTTATCGATCTTGTCTTTCAAGTATTGTTTCCACAAACCAATACAGCCCGCTTTAGTTATATTCCGACCAATAAATACACAATGCTCGGGCTTAATTTCCTCCTCACATCGTACGCGACATCAAATAATAATAATAATAATAATAGCGGCTACGACTTTACCCTTTTGTGCTAAGCCATACATCGTCCATAATACATTTTTCACTTAACAAAAGAATTGTTTATACTCTGCAGTTAATAAAAGAATCTCTTTTTTATAATTATCGCGGCCTTAAACGTCTACCATTCTAGTCGTAAAGTTTTCCATTATTAGCGTTAGTAATTTTTATATTAAGTATCTGCCAACAAAATATTTATTATTCTTTAGACAAACCATTAAAAGAAAAACATAAAGTTATTAGAAATTGTTGCAACAACATCAGAAGCTACTATAAAAAGAATGAAGAGACCTTCCCTCGAAATTCAATGTCCAAAGATGGTTTGAGAGCATTATAATGTTAATTATTAAATACGGCATCTTCACCAATTGAAAAAGTTCCACAAAAGACGACAATATACAGTCTATTTCAATTTGTTAGAATTGTGACCTTGAAGAAATCTGCGCGAAGATAGAAAGAATACACACTAGGCGTGAGCAAGACAGAAATAGTGGGAACAAGCTTGAACGAACAGAGCTCTCGATGGGCGGTCTTAGGAGATCGGCTAGAACTGTACAGTACTAGACGAAAATGTTTAGCAATTTCTTAAAATAAAAATGTATATAAATTAACAATAGAAAACAAAGCAAAAGTTTTATAGGTGTGTAGAACGTTAGGTTAATTCACTTGTTATTATTTTTGGCTAAATATGCTTTTAAATAAAGCATTTTCTTAAATTTTAACGAGGCAGTTTAAATAATTTTGCAAATCGTACTGTACACTTTTGTCTAGTTCTCGTTCGATGATCGGTGAAGAAATGAGCTACACAGACGGATATGATTGAATTTGGAATTATGCTACGGCGCATCCTAATAAAGGGAAGGGGCATATCTCCAACTTCTTGAAACGAACAGTATTACTGTTAAACATCATTTTCGATATCCTAATCTATTCCAATATTATACAAATGTAAAATCTGTAAATTTGGATGTTGAAGATAATCTCCAAAACTAATCATCCAATTTGAAAAGTTGTTGAATCAATATATGGAATGGACCTTCAGGGTGGGGTTAGGCTGTACATTATTTCGTTGAAATAAGAAGGATATACGTGTAGACTAATTCTGCATCATAATATACTATACTTGGTTCTAATCTAACTAGTATGTAAAAGAGGAAAGCAAATGCGACTGTGCCGATTTTGAACGTTTCAACTGTATAATCTGACTCTTTTAGTCATAATCTGATTTCCAAGCGGGAAAAGCCGCGGGCACAAGAAATAACTGCGTTTACTTTTGAAAACTCGAAAACATTGTGCATTCACAATATTTCTTAATAATTTTGTGTGAGAAAGCCCCGTCGTTTTTCAGAATTATCCGATTTGAATTGATTCTTGTAAAGTCTACAAAGTATTAAAAATACATTAAAGTCTGGAGCACTTAAAGCTGAGATTCGATAGGAAAACAAGTGATCCAGTGGCTTTTGCCTCTCTATATCACAAGTTCAGCAAAAAACTCACGCACCGTTCTCTGCCGTTCCAACTTTTTCTTTTCTTAATAATATTGGTTGCGATATTGGCACATAAAGATGATTTATACCACGTTCTTCCGCATGGCGCTTTAATCTAGATTAGGTATGCCACCCAACACATATACGTATCTACATGCATGCTCTCGCACATTTACCGTAAAAGGTGAACTAATCGTTTAAGCTGAGTGGACTTTGCGTTGCTGTTTCGGCATATTTTAGTTTCATTTTGCTTTCGTTATACGCTGATGGCAACTTCACCCTAGCCGGGCTGTCGTATAAGAAGCAAATAATCTGCGGATTTATCTTCATTCTGGTGACACTCGAGAGAAACCATTTATACACATTACTTTGTAATCTTAAAACTGAAACAGTGGCTGATGTGCCAGTATACGATGCAGTTTTAAAAATGCACCTTATTTTATCCTACAAGCATTGCGGCCGCTAGTATTTCGCAGGACTTCGTATCTACAATTACAGGGTGTTTTGCTAATCGAGAAGATTTGGTACTGGTACTAGAAAATTAAATAGAATTTTTCAGAATTGAACTAAATAAACTATCAAATAACAGGCAGAGTTTCGCCATCTAGTGGCTATTTACTGTTACTGAAGTATTCATCCATTTAAATCGATGATGCACGCAAAATATACTTATAAGTAT